GCTGCGGGCTCTGAGGGTGCTGGTTTTGGGGGTGCTGGCCCTGAGGGTACTGTCTCATGTGGTGCTGAGCGCCCTCGTGTTGGTGGAGTCGAGGATACTGCTCCTGGAGGTTCTGAGGGTGTGTTGCAGCCCCTGTCGCGGCGATCCTTGCTGCGAGAGTAGCAGCAGTCGTCGTTGCCACTACCTGGGTTAGTTGCAGGAGGTACTGGAGCTGGAGGTGCTGGAGCTGGAGGTGCTGGAGGTTCTGGTGCTGGAGGTGCTGGAGGTACTGGAGCTGGAGGTGCTAGAGCTGGAGGTGCTGGAGGTTCTGGTGCTGGAGGTGCTGGAGGTCCTGGTGCTGGAGGTATTGGAGCTAGAGGTGCTGCCACTGAGTGTGTTGGTCGTGCTGGAACTAGAGGTTTTCCTGGTACTGGTCCTGGAGGAGCTAGTTTTGGGGGTGCAGCGCAGCCACTGCAGCGACGGCCGTTGTTCTGGGAGCAGCCGCAGGCGTCACTGCCGCTACCTCGGCTGGCGCTTCACCACCTTCCCCGCCTGCCTCTGCGGAGCCGTCTACCACCGATACTCCTCCTCCTCTACTGTTTCCACCACCTGACCTATCTCAGACGCAATTACCGCCTGACTCCCCTCTACCTGTTCCTCTTCGTGACTCTCCGTTAGCTGACTCCCTGACTGAGCGTCGAGAGCCTGCGCCTCGTCCTACCTCACCTGTCGCTCGTACTCGCCGTACTCATCGTGTTCTCCCTTCTCCTGTTCCAAGCACTCACACCATGATACTTCGTCTTTCCTCTATTTCACGGCATGTTGTCCTACCGTTACATCCCTCGTCATCTCTTCCTGATGTTCCTTACCCTATGTTTGACTGTGTTCGTGCTGCTAGTCCGACTATCACTCGTTGCCTTGCCACACTTGTCACCGACCCTGCTTTTTGTTTCAGTTGCTGCACCTGCCTTGGTCCCTGAGCTCACTAACCTTGCTGCTACTATCCTACCTCGCGAGTCTTGTTTTTTATTCCTCCCTGTCCTACGTCCATCGGGGGTGAGCTTGCCCTTGGCCGTGACGTCCATGAGGACAGGCAGGCTGAGCTGGAGTGCCGGAGGTTTTCGCGCCAAAAGGTTTTCGCGACAGAGTCGTCTCATGGCACAACTAACAACAGTGCAAATGCAACCCGGCGAAAAAGGAATGGCATATATCAGTCGTTACCGCGGTTTGCGTGGTAGACTTCTTCGATGCGGTGGATCAATATCTGAAGAGGCATTCGTCACTGTCGACATCACTGGTCTTGGCCCTCAGTGGCGCTCCACCCGAGCCATCCTCCGAGCCCATGGAAGAATCTCCGAAGCAGCTCTCTGCACTGAAATCCGCGCTGAGCAACAAGACATGGACCTACACGAAGAATGTCACAAGAAATCCAAGAAGGTTTTCGCGCCAAAATCACGCTCCCCACAACAGTCGCATCCAATGGAGGGATGCCAGAACAGTTCGAAACATCCTTAGCAAGACCCACGCGAAACCACGCGAAACCCACCGAAAAAACACAATCGTCAAAATTCCCGGCGTGAATCCCCAAATGTTGGGAGCGCGACGCGGGAAATTTTTTACCCACTCATGGTCACTAGGGTCAATTTGCCGAGTGGTTGGGTGCAGAGGTGTAAGACGTGGGACATTGCCCACTTGTGACACTCGACTGACGACCGCCAAATTCTTGCAGTAAATCCAGAATCGTGCAACCAGGTGATTGGTTGGGGGTGGGTCGTGGACGTCATTCGCCCAACACCTGCACATTGACCCAAAGCTGGGGCCGCGCGCGGCTCGGCAGCCCACTTCGGGTCATGCGCAAATTCCGCATGACCCAAACAGTAGCCAGAACAGTGCTCATGACCCGAACATGGATACGCCCTCAGCATCCTGGCGCGCTACGTTGCGCCCGGGAGACACCGCCCTGAGCACTGGCGGGCTGCTATGAGGATGCTGTGCTACTTGGTGAGTACATCAGCTTGAGGCCTGTGCTTGGGGGACGGGGTTCAGTTGTGCTCACGGGGCACTCAAACGCTTCGTGGGCCGACGACCAGGCGACTCAGCGGTCGTCGCATGGCTACACTTTCAGTCTCAACACTGGTTCTGTCTCATGGAAGTCCGCTCGGTCGTCTTCAGTGCTCAGCTCCACTTGTGAGGCTGAGATCTACAGTGTGGCTATGGTTGCGCATGAGTTACGATGGCTGGCCTACTTGCTCACCGACTTGGGTGAAGGGCCTCGTTCTCCTCCGGTTCTGTTCGTTGACAACAAGGCCATAATAGCCTTATGTTAGGAGCACACAACGAAGCACATTGCTCTTCGTTACTGTCTCATGCGAGAGTTGCAGCAGCGTGGTCAGCTTCGCCTTTCTTATGTGGCCTCTAAGGCCAATACTGCTGATATTTTCACCAAGGCTCTTGGGTCTAGTGATCATAAGCGTTTATGCACTGCTCTTGGCCTTGTGCCTACTCTGCCTCACTTGCTTGTCTCTTGATGTCGTCTTGTACTTGTTGTACTCTGATATACATCTATACCTGCATGTGTACATTTGCTTGGATGTGATCATTGTACTACTCTTGCTTCCATAACACTGCATGTGAACTAGCCTTGTGGCCGCTTGCTTGTGCTCGGACTATATGGTGATCTTGAGATCCTCCCTGAGTGTTGTTTTCTTTCTTCTTTTGACTGGTGTTGTGACCTTTTTGCGTTGCTACTTCTTGCTTTCCCCCACTTAGCCTACGGGGCTATGTCAAACTAATTATATGCTTGCAGGCTGTAGTGGGGCACTCTCCAAGGGGTATGACTCTTTTGGGGTTTGAACTTGTACCCCCTCCTTGTCAGTGAACTGCATTCCGCTAGTTTCTAACAAACAACAATATACACGGCACCCATAATCACTTCGTCCCGTTTTCATTCACGACATTCTCCACCTGAGCACCGTTTGTACCATCGCGCCTTAGCCACACGCCTCAGCTGGTAATCCGCGGTCCAGCCCTCAGCACTAAGCCCGTAGAGCACCCTGTTGGAAACATATAGTTTGCGCTTCTAATGTGTCGAAACATTGAATTGTAAGCGAGGCAGACTACAGCGAAGCAACAGCGAGTCAACCAAAGAGGTTGACAGCATGCAACAGCAAGGAGGTTAAGCGAAGTTCATAGGTCAGCGACTGACTCACCGAAAGGAAGCGCGACAGCAAGGACAAATAACTGGCTCGTTATTGAGCTTGCCCGGGTCGCAGCTGTATCAAATCGCAACAGCAACAGCAACAGTTAGTTGTGACCTTTCATATTCCCTTGTACTCTTATAAAAGCTTTGTATCTCTTTACTATAAGTAATCTATCTTGCTCTCACACACTAGTGCAAGGTGGTTCAACCAGGTCACTACAACGCTTCCGCAATTACATCATCACTTCGAGTCTTAGCCGTGAAACGATCCTAAGGGCTTTTCTCAGCCCAACAAAGTATGAGAGCTAACAGGGCAAGACTCAATTCTGTACAACATTCTACAACAACTCAAGACATGGCAATACAGAAGGAGAGAAGCTCCTCTAACGGATCTCCCGGCACTACTCCTACTCCACCTCCAGCCTTTGGACTGCAGACAGAGGGAGGTACGGCAACAAGACCAGCTGCTGAATGTACTAAAACTCCAGCAAACCAAACAACCGGCTTCGACCCAAGAATGATTGAGAAGTTCTTCTCCTTCATGTCATTTTACGAGCAACTGCCGACCGGACCTGTCATACTCAGCGAGCCAACTCGCGTATCTCAAGAAGCCCGAAGCAGAGCACATGGTAGAACTCGATCGCACACTGCACTACCTCGTCAGCACACCAACGATTGGCTTAACCTACCACAAAACAGGAACCTCGACGCCTAAACTAATCGGCTACGTGGATGATGACCACGCTCAGGCGATCACGCTCCGGCTATATCTACCGACTCGAGCCTATCGGTCCTATTTTGTGGCAGTCGAGCAAGCAAGAGCTAATTGCTCTCGCCTTAGCTGAAGCAGAATACGTCGCACTTTGCTCAGCCACCAAGGAAGGATTGTACCTTCGCGACCTACTGGAAGAAGCAAAGCTGGCCCAGTTACCCAGCTTCTCCCTCTTCTGCGATAAGCAATCAGCAATTCGCATAGCGAACAAGAACGGGTTCGCGAACCGAACAAAGCAGATCGCCCTGCGATACTTCTTCGTGAAGGACGAGATCGAAAAGGGTCGAGCTATCCTACTCCCCCACATCCGAGATGGCAGCAGATTAATTGACCAAGAAACTCGGATAGCAGACGTTCGAGTATTGCATGCTGCTGACTGGACAAGGCCACGTCACCAGCAACGACACTCCAGAAGCGAAAAGGGGTGTTGGAAACATATAGTTTGCGCTTCTGATGTGTCGAAACATTGAATCGTAAGCGAGGCAGACTACAGCGAAGCAACAGCGAGTCAACCGAAGAGGTTGACAGAATGCAACAGCAAGGAGGTTAAGCGAAGGTCAAAGGTCAGCGACCTTTGACTCACCAAAAGGCAGCGCGACAGCAAGGACAAACAACTGACTCGTTATTGAGCAGTTGCCCGAGTAGCAGCTGTATCGAATCGCAACAGCAACAGCAACAGTTAGTTATGACTTTTCATACGGTATTCCCTTGTAATCATATAAAAACTTTGTATCTCTTTACTTCTAGTAATCTATCTTGCTCTCACACACTAGTGCAAGGTGGCTCAACCAGATCACTACAACCCTTCTGCAATTACATCATCACTTCGAGTCTTAGCCTTGAAACAATCCTAAGGGGTTTTTTCAGCCCAACACGCCCCAATAATTCGCACATTCCGCTATATAAAATTTGCTCACAACTTTGCTCATACGTTTGTGATTCTTGCCTCCATAGTGCAATCCTCACTCGATTAGTTGCACTCGTAGCTGTGATACAAGAAACGTTAATGTTAATAATAGTAGAAAATAAACAGGTGCATCCGTTCCTAATTTATTTCAGCAGAACCGCAGGTGCAGCAAGCCGGTCATTGGTGGCCCTCAAGGCGAGGATGAGGCGAGTGTGCCGCGAGGCCAGTGACCCCACAAAGTAGTCTGACTCCGCTGCGATCAGCACACTTGCCAGCTGTGACCCCACCACACCTGCCATGCTGGCAGCCGCTGATTGGCCGTAGCTGTCGTGCCGGGAGTTAAGGAAGGTCCAGTCGTCGAAGGCTGCCAATTGTGTCTGCGTGGCCTGAGGGGCCCACAGGGGGATGGGAGAGAGGAAGACAGGGCAAACAGGGAGGGTGTGTGATGGCTGGAAAGGAGTAGCGTGCATTTGCACCACTTGGACCTCTGCTCCTCGCACCACATGGCCCTGCACCCTCTCGCACCACATGCCTCAATGCACCACGCGCCTCATTGCACCACGCGCCTCATTGCACCACGCGCCTCATTGCACCACGCGCCTCATTGCACCACGCGCCTCATTGCACCACGCGCCTCATTGCACCACGCGCCTCATTGCACCACGCGCCTCATTGCACCACGCGCCTCATTGCACCACGCGCCTCATTGCACCACGCGCCTCATTGCACCACGCGCCTCATTGCACCACGCGCCTCATTGCACCACGCGCCTCATTGCACCACGCGCCTCATTGCACCACGCGCCTCATTGCACCACGCGCCTCATTGCACCACGCGCCTCATTGCACCACGCGCCTCATTGCACCACGCGCCTCATTGCACCACGCGCCTCATTGCACCACGCGCCTCATTGCACCACGTGCGCTGATGACCCTGCGCACCTGCGAGGGAGAGGCGGTGAGCCACACGTGGTGGAGGTCAGGGTCGTGCTGCCTGAGGCTGTACGCGTGGAACACACTCGCCACCACCGCCATCTGCTCCCTCCTCCCCCGCTCCTCCAACTCCCCCTCCTGCCCACTCCTCCCCACCTCCTCATCCTCCCCTTCCTCCTTATCCTGCTCATCCTCTTTGAGATGCTGCATTGGCGGCCTCTCCACCCCTCGCCTCCGTCCTGTGTCCATGGCAACGATGGGGCGCAGCACATACGCCTCGCGCCCCGCCCCAAAGTAGTCTGACAGGGGGTTGCCCGGCGTCGCCATCACATTGCCGCGCCCGCGCGCCACACACCCGTGGAAGCCCAGCCCCGGCCACACCTGCGCCTCCACCGAGTGCGCAGTCGAGAAGTTGAGCGCCGCCAGCTCCCGCCCCTCCTGCTGCAGGGCGCGCGCTGCAATGGGGTGGCGGGCGGCCAGGGGTGGCAGCAGCAGCGAGGAGAGGATGCCCTGGGCCTCGGCGTGGTGCGTGGCCATGCCGCGCGCCACTTGCATGCCGTAGGCGCGGTGGCGGTGACGGTTGAGCAGGTGGCAGAGGTAGGGCGAGGGCCAGCGCAGCATGAAGCGCAGCGCCTGCGCCCTCCACCACTGCACCTGCACGAAGAGGAGGGGGGGATGGCAGGGGGGGTGGAGGGACGAGAGGGATATAAGGCGGTGGCTACAATGGAAAGAGGAGAGATAGCCCAACCTCACTGCTTGTGGGGGGATTGGGGGAGGGGACGAGCAGGAGGATGAGGGAGGTGCAAAAGTGGAGGGACAGGGCAAGGACGCATGGCATGTGGCAGCAGCCCAGCAGCGCTACAATGGCTCCATGCATGGCACGGTGGCGTGGACGCATGGTGACATGGTGGCACATGATGGTGACATGGCGGCACCTTCTGCTGTTTCTCCATACACCGCTCTGCACCCCTCCGCGCCCCCCGCACCACCACCTGCTGCCACGCCCCGCCTAGCAGGCTGCTCACATGTGGGAACACAGCAGGAGATGGGAGGTAGATGAGGATGAGACGGTAGGAGAGAGACACAGGGGGAGGCGTTGGGGGAAACAGAGAAACAAGGGTAAGGTCAACAGTGGCGAGCAGCTTGACGAGTGCAGTGCGGGTTGTCATTCCCAGCTCGAAGTTGCCATGCATGGGTCACATCACATCACATCACATCACATCACATCACATCACATCACATCACATCACATCACACCACACCACATCACATCACATCACATCACATCACACCACATCACACCACACCACACCACATCACATCACATCACGCCATACCACACCACACCACACCACACCACATCACATCACACCACACCACATCACACCATACCACATCACACCACATCACACCACATCCCACCACACCACACCGCATCACATCACATCACATCACATCACATCACACCACATCACATCACATCACACCACATAACATCACATCACATCACATCACATCACATCACATCACATCACATCACACCACACCACACCACACCACATCACATCCCACCACACCACATCACATCACACCATACCACATCACACCACATCACACCACATCCCACCACACCACACCGCATCACATCATATCACATCACATCACATCACACCACATCACATCACATCACACCACACCACACGACACCACACCACATCACATCACATCACATCACATCACATCATATCACATCACATCACATCACATCACATCACATCACACCACATCACATCACACCACATCACATCACATCACATCACATCACATCACATCACATCACATCACACCACATCACATCACACCACATCACATCACATCACACCACACCACACCACACCACATCACATCACATCACATCACATCACATCACATCACATCACATCACACCACATCACATCACACCACATCACATCACATCACATCACATCACATCACATCACATCACATCACATCACATCACATCACACCACATCACATCACACCACATCACATCACATCACATCACTCACGCAGCAGCAGCTTCAGCAGGATGCTTCCCACTTGGCTCCGCGCCCGCATCGCCATCACGGCACTGCACCGCAGCACTCGCCCGCACATGGGTGGTGGCGCACACCACATGCGCCTCTGACGCCACTGCACTGCCCACCTCCGCCACTGGCCTGCACGCCCCCATCCCGCCCCCCCCGCCTTCTGACCCCTCCGCCCCCCCTGCATGCACGTCCGTGCTTCCCAGCCGTCCCCCTTGCAGGCGTCCCCCCTCCATAACAGGGTGGGAGAGTGAGACGGCGGCGTGGGCAGCGGCCTGGCAGGCGGGCGAGGTGAGGCGGTGGAAGTAGCAGTGCCACGAGCCCCATGCGCTGTGCGCTGGGGCGACACGCGTGGAGGGCACGCAGGGGGAAGGAGACATGGCAGCATTAGAGGGGAGTGCAGGGCGCACGTGCCACACACACGCATCCAGACAGCTTGCATGCATTCGAGCCTTCTTGCCATCCCTCTTGCCACACGCCACACACCTCGCCATCCCTCATGCCATCCCTCATGCCATCCCTCATGCCATCCCTCATGCCATCCCTCATGCCATCCCTCATGCCATCCCTCATGCCATCCCTCATGCCATCCCTCATGCCATCCCTCATGCCATCCCTCATGCCATCCCTCGTGCCATCCCTCGTGCCATCCCTCGTGCCATCCCTCATGCCATCCCTCGTGCCATCCCTCGTGCCATCCCTCGTGCCATCCCTCGTGCCATCCCTCGTGCCATCCCTCGTGCCATCCCTCGTGCCATCCCTCGTGCCATCCCTTGTGCCATCCCTCGTGCCATCCCTACGCCACCCCTCGTGCCATCCCTCGTGCCATCCCTCGTGCCATCCCTCGTGCCATCCCTCGTGCCATCCCTCGTGCCATCCCTCGTGCCATCCCTCGTGCCATCCCTCGTGCCATCCCTCGTGCCATCCATCGTGCCTTTTTTATGCCATCCCTCGTGCCATCCCTCGTGCCATCCCTCGTGCCATCCCTCGTGCCATCCCTCGTGCCATCCCTCGTGCCATCCCTCGTGCCATCCCTCGTGCCATCCCTCGTGCCATCCCTCGTGCCATCCCTCGTGCCATCCCTCGTGCCATCCCTCGTGCCATCCCTCGTGCCATCCCTCGTGCCATCCCTCGTGCCATCCCTCGTGCCATCCCTCGTGCCATCCCTCGTGCCATCCCTCGTGCCATCCCTCGTGCCATCCCTCGTGCCATCCCTCGTGCCATCCCTCGTGCCATCCCTCGTGCCATCCCTCGTGCCATCCCTCGTGCCATCCCTCGTGCCATCCCTCGTGCCATCCCTCGTGCCATCCCTCGTGCCATCCCTCGTGCCATCCCTCGTGCCATCCCTCGTGCCATCCCTCGTGCCATTCCTCGTGCCTACCACCCATGAGTGCGCCGCACCTCGGCAGGCGGGGTGCTGGGCGGGGCTGAACGACGCCCCCACGGTAACCAGCACGCGCCCACTGCTCACCGCCACTGCCAGCGCCTCCCCCATCGCCTCTACCGCTCCCGCCAACCACTCCCCCAACCCCTTCCCCGTCCCCCTCCCCTCCCAACCCCTGCGCGTCCCCCCTCGTCCAGGAGCGGTTGAGCGCGGGGGGCAGCGCGGGCCAGTGCACGAGCAGCAGGCGGCGGCCGCGGCAGCGGTGCGGCGGGAACTGGTGCTCCCACAGATCCCTCTGCGCCGCCCGCGTGCCGCCCAGATTGCCCGCGTCCGACCCGCGCACCTGCGGGAGGGAGGGTGAAGGTGGACGGAAGACGAGAAGGAGGGGTGGGAGGGGAAGCGGGGTGGGAGGTGGGGGGGGGGGGCAGGGTGAGGAAGGTGTGAGTGCGGAGGGTATGAGGTAGCGCTTGTGTGAGAGGAGATGAGAGGGAGACGAGAGGGACGAGAGCACACAGATTGACAAGAGTGCACAGGAGGGCAGATGGAAGGTGGTGTGACAAGAAAAACAGCAGTAGATAGTGATGATGCATGCATGCGCGCAGGTAGTGCATGCATGCGCGCAGGTAGTGCATGCATGCGCGCAGCGGCATGCACATCTCACCCACGGGGGCTGCGGGACGCCTTCACACTGCTGCGCCGCTGCGTCCGCCCATCGTGGCGCCTGCCCCCTGCGCCCGCGCTGCTCCATGGCGCGGCGGAAGGCAGAGCGCGCAGCACAGTCGTGCAGGTGGGGCGCGGGGGGCAGGGGGGCGGAGAGGTGCACCTCGGCGGGCGGGTGGGAGGAGTTTGCGGTAAGCCCATATGCGGCCGCCCACGCCTGTGGCACAATGGAGGGCAGCAGGGGAGGAGGCATGGCGTGGGCAAAGACGGGTTGAGAGGGGGTTGTGGCAAAGTCGGTTGGGATGCACGCACCCCGTTTTCTCTCTCATTGTTCACCTCACCTATTCTCACACCACGCACCTCACCTATTCTCACACCACGCACCTCACCTATTCTCACACCACGCACCTCACCTATTCTCAGACCACGCACCTCATATATTCTCACACCACGCACCTCACCTATTCTCACACCATGCACCTCACCTATTCTCACACCACGCACCTCATATATTCTCACACCACGCACCTCACCTATTCTCACACCACGCACCTCACCTATTCTCACACCACGCACCTCACCTATTCTCACACCACGCACCTCACCTATTCTCACACCACGAACCTCACCTATTCTCACACCACGCACCTCACCTATTCTCACACCACGCACCTCACCTATTCTCACACCACGCACCTCACCTATTCTCACACCACGCACCTCATATATCTTCACGGAACCCTCGCTGGGCCTGCTTATCTGCACCGTTTCCCCTCCCTGCGACCCCTCCTTTCCTCCCTGCGACCCCTCCTTTCCTCCCTGCGATCCCTCCTTGATTTTCTGCGATCACTAGTACGGAGGTGCGTGATGAGGTCAGCTACAGTGGCAAAAGCAGACAGATCGGGGAAGAGATAGGGCAGTGAGAGACGGCCTATCGCAGCAGTAGCAGGGGAGGAGTAGCGTGCAACTACAGCATCGTACAGCTCCTTAGCGGTCTTATGCTGGCCAAAGTGCTCGCGCTCATCTAACGGTAGGTGGCTGCGAACGGCTAGGCGAGCATGAGCGTCAGGGTCTGCCACTGTGAGCGAGCAGTGCTGTCAGCAGTAGCAGCAGGTGCGGGAGCGGCGCCGGACGTGTGGTCAAACAGGGAAACATCGTCCTTGGCAGTGATCTGGAGGAACAGGTGCAGGTCATCGAGCCAAACGTCAAACTTAATCGGACGGCCCTCAGAGTCAAAAGTGAGAACGGTAGGACTGGCCATAGTGGCAGTAGCAGCAGTAGCAGTAACAGCAGTAGTAGCAGCAGTAGCAGTAGTAGCAGTAAGAGCAGTAGCAGTAGCAGCTGTAGCAGTAGCAGCAATAGTAGTAGTAGTGAGAGCAGCTGTAACAGTAGGAACAGGAACAGCAGTTGCTGCAGGTGGGGCGGCGCGGCTCGGTCAGGATGGCACGACTCGGGCGGCGCGGCTCGGGCAGGTAGGGCGGCGCGACGGCAGGCCTATGCACGGTGCGCGGTGGCGCCTAAGGTGCGGCTGCGCGCGGGCCGCGGCTGCGTTCGTGCGGCGGCTAAGCGTGAGCTGCAGCAACCGACGCGCGATCGCCGCTGCGCGCGGGCTGCGACCTGCGGGCGGGCGGCGGTGGGTCGAGCGTCGGCCTAGGGGCGAGCGGGGCCTACGGGCGACGGCCTACTGGAGCGCGTGAGAAAAATCGGGCCGCCCTAGGCGGCGAATCGGCTACTCGCGCTAAAAACGCGGGGCCGCGCTCGGGCTGCTAGCGGGCTGCAAAATGAGCAGCGTGAGAGGAGGGCGCGCGAGGGCGCACTAGGAGAGAGGCGCTCGAGGGCGCTAAGACGGTAGGGCGCACGAGGGCACCTGTAGCGGATCGGTGGGCCCTTAGGTAAGCGGTCCTAGGTCCCTAACCTAGGCTCTTAATACCATGTCAAGAATGAGAAGAGAAGTAGTTGGACTAAGAAAAGTGTGGGGTACAAGTAGGAAACCCTAAAGTTATCATACCCCATAGTATCTACCCCACTACAGCCTAAACAACTGTAGCAGATATGGTCACCACCACAAAACCTGGGGGTGAGCGCGTGAAAATCTGTATGGACACAAAGACTGGAGACCACCTTGCCACGTTCACACGGCGGCTTGGGTCTACTCACTGCACACTAAGTCTGCTCAGGTGGCTGCGTTAGGTCAAGTAGCTGCGTCTTGCTCGTGTTGGTTGCTTACACAACAATCCCACCTCTGGCACCACCGTCTTGGTCACCCCTCCTTTCAGCGCCTCTATAACATGCACTCGCGTTGCCTTGCCACTGGACTCCTGCAGTCTCTGCCCCCGCTCGCCGACGCCTGCACCGACGTGCACTCCCTGCGTCAAGGGGCGGCAGCGCGTCGCTCCACACTCCTCCTCGTTTCCTCCAACCACTGCTCCTCCGTACACGCTCCACATGGACGTGTGGGGTCTCGCCCTCGTCAGTGGGACGTGCCAGGTGTGTTAATTTATGCTGGCCGTCGACGAATTCATGCGCAACACCACGCTATTTCCCTTAGAGCATAGGGGTGACGTTTGTGTAGTTCTGGTCCCTTAGATCTGCGCTGTTCATTGCCAGTTGAGCGCACGGTTCCAGCAGGACGTCCCGGTGCTCCGTCTGTACTCTAACTATGGTGGCAAGTTTGCCTTCGGTCTGCTTGAGGACTTCTGTCGTTAGGAGGGCATCACCCCGTCGTTCACACTTCCGGCCTTTCCACAGCAGAATGGGATAGCTGAGCACTACATTGGCTTGATTATGGACTTTGCTCGCGGATCCATGATCCATGCGCTTGCGGTTTGCGGTCCGATACGCCATGCATCAGCTTAACCTCTGACCCCGTGTCTCACAGCCAGAGACCTCGCCTACTCTCCTTTGGACGGAGGATGTCGGCGATGCGTCTGCGTTTCGGGTCTGGGCTTCGCTTGCCATTGTCTGCGATCCTACCATGGGCAAGCTCTCTCCGCATACTATTCGCTGCAACTTCCTTGGTTTTCCCACTGACGCCCCTGACAGGAAGTTTTACCACCCAGCCACTCGCCGCGTCGTGTCCTTCCGTGATGCCACCATTGACGAGTCGATTTGCTATTGCCGTCTCTACCCCCACCGCTGTTCCCGCACCCCTCTTCCCGGTGCCAGGTTCCCCCCAGGTAGACTCGCTCAAGCCCCCCCTTCCTGCTCCCTCAGGTGTGTCTCATGTCACCCTACTCCCCTTGGTTGTGCCTTTGGAGGTCTCCTCATAAAACTCTGGCCCGGCTGAGGGGGGGTGACCCTGCTGCTGAACGACACATCGGCCTCTCGCCTCTCACCGCGCTTGGAGACACCTCCGCCTCGGCCGTCTTCACCTACTCTGTAGCCTGTCGGTGTGGACCTCGGTGCTTTTGAGGGTGGTGATGGTTCTTGGGGGGGAAGGGGAGGGGGGGGGGGGGGGGGGGGGAGGGGGGAGGGGGGAACCCTGGTGCTGCGGGCTCTGAGGGTGCTGGTTTTGGGGGTGCTGGCCCTGAGGGTACTGTCTCATGTGGTGCTGAGCGCCCTCGTGTTGGTGGAGTCGAGGATACTGCTCCTGGAGGTTCTGAGGGTGTGTTGCAGCCCCTGTCGCGGCGATCCTTGCTGCGAGAGTAGCAGCAGTCGTCGTTGCCACTACCTGGGTTAGTTGCAGGAGGTACTGGAGCTGGAGGTGCTGGAGCTGGAGGTGCTGGAGGTTCTGGTGCTGGAGGTGCTGGAGGTACTGGAGCTGGAGGTGCTAGAGCTGGAGGTGCTGGAGGTTCTGGTGCTGGAGGTGCTGGAGGTCCTGGTGCTGGAGGTATTGGAGCTAGAGGTGCTGCCACTGAGTGTGTTGGTCGTGCTGGAACTAGAGGTTTTCCTGGTACTGGTCCTGGAGGAGCTAGTTTTGGGGGTGCAGCGCAGCCACTGCAGCGACGGCCGTTGTTCTGGGAGCAGCCGCAGGCGTCACTGCCGCTACCTCGGCTGGCGCTTCACCACCTTCCCCGCCTGCCTCTGCGGAGCCGTCTACCACCGATACTCCTCCTCCTCTACTGTTTCCACCACCTGACCTATCTCAGACGCAATTACCGCCTGACTCCCCTCTACCTGTTCCTCTTCGTGACTCTCCGTTAGCTGACTCCCTGACTGAGCGTCGAGAGCCTGCGCCTCGTCCTACCTCACCTGTCGCTCGTACTCGCCGTACTCATCGTGTTCTCCCTTCTCCTGTTCCAAGCACTCACACCATGATACTTCGTCTTTCCTCTATTTCACGGCATGTTGTCCTACCGTTACATCCCTCGTCATCTCTTCCTGATGTTCCTTACCCTATGTTTGACTGTGTTCGTGCTGCTAGTCCGACTATCACTCGTTGCCTTGCCACACTTGTCACCGACCCTGCTTTTTGTTTCAGTTGCTGCACCTGCCTTGGTCCCTGAGCTCACTAACCTTGCTGCTACTATCCCACCTCGCGAGTCTTGTTTTTTATTCCTCCCTGTCCTACGTCCATCGGGGGTGAGCTTGCCCTTGGCCGTGACGTCCATGAGGACAGGCAGGCTGAGCTGGAGTGCCGGAGGTTTTCGCGCCAAAAGGTTTTCGCGACAGAGTCGTCTCATGGCACAACTAACAACAGTGCAAATGCAACCCGGCGAAAAAGGAATGGCATATATCAGTCGTTACCGCGGTTTGCGTGGTAGACTTCTTCGATGCGGTGGATCAATATCTGAAGAGGCATTCGTCACTGTCGACATCACTGGTCTTGGCCCTCAGTGGCGCTCCACCCGAGCCATCCTCCGAGCCCATGGAAGAATCTCCGAAGCAGCTCTCTGCACTGAAATCCGCGCTGAGCAACAAGACATGGACCTACACGAAGAATGTCACAAGAAATCCAAGAAGGTTTTCGCGCCAAAATCACGCTCCCCACAACAGTCGCATCCAATGGAGGGATGCCAGAACAGTTCGAAACATCCTTAGCAAGACCCACGCGAAACCACGCGAAACCCACCGAAAAAACACAATCGTCAAAATTCCCGGCGTGAATCCCCAAATGTTGGGAGCGCGACGCGGGAAATTTTTTACCCACTCATGGTCACTAGGGTCAATTTGCCGAGTGGTTGGGTGCAGAGGTGTAAGACGTGGGACATTGCCCACTTGTGACACTCGACTGACGACCGCCAAATTCTTGCAGTAAATCCAGAATCGTGCAACCAGGTGATTGGTTGGGGGTGGGTCGTGGACGTCATTCGCCCAACACCTGCACATTGACCCAAAGCTGGGGCCGCGCGCGGCTCGGCAGCCCACTTCGGGTCATGCGCAAATTCCGCATGACCCAAACAGTAGCCAGAACAGTGCTCATGACCCGAACATGGATACGCCCTCAGCATCCTGGCGCGCTACGTTGCGCCCGGGAGACACCGCCCTGAGCACTGGCGGGCTGCTATGAGGATGCTGTGCTACTTGGTGAGTACATCAGCTTGAGGCCTGTGCTTGGGGGACGGGGTTCAGTTGTGCTCACGGGGCACTCAAACGCTTCGTGGGCCGACGACCAGGCGACTCAGCGGTCGTCGCATGGCTACACTTTCAGTCTCAACACTGGTTCTGTCTCATGGAAGTCCGCTCGGTCGTCTTCAGTGCTCAGCTCCACTTGTGAGGCTGAGATCTACAGTGTGGCTATGGTTGCGCATGAGTTACGATGGCTGGCCTACTTGCTCACCGACTT